CTGGTAATCTGGTTGAATGGACGAAAGCAGTGTTGCTGGCAGGTCGTGGGTCGGCTGGTGATGCTAAGGACGAAGGCGGAGTGGTTGCGACGACGGCTACGGCTGCTGCTGGCGTAGATGACAACAGTACTGGCTACGACGACGACGGCTACGGCTGCTAGTGGCGGCAGGGATGGAGAATCACATCCACTCGTCCCCGTGCTGAACGGGCGAAGTATTGTTGCTCTCATGTCAGCAGGTGCCAAGCAGAGACACGGGTCATGAATGTTGTTTATTATTAAATTAATTCTGCCGTCATCGCTATTCAGGCATCTGTCGTTAGGGCAAAGCGGAAATGTATTATATAAAGTTTGCAGACATAATTTCTCGCCGGAAAAATTTTGTTCTTTTTTTTTCTTCTTAGACTAGTGCTTTGAATAGGTGAAGGTCACTGAAATCCGGGTTCGGTAGGAGTATCTTGAGTAACTGGAAGTGGCCTAACTTCCGGGTACGATAAGAGGACTGATATTACATTTTGACACTGTTTCTAAGGAAATCTTCCTGTTTCTTAATATTTTAATTTTTGAAGGTATCTTTTGCTAAACAAATGCGCCTTCTGGTTTCGGCGACACATTTTCCGCATTCTGTTAAATCAGCGCGACATACAGTTCATCGCCAAGAAATTAGGCAGCCCCCGCACACCAGAAAAATACCCCTTAGCCAACATATAGAGGAATGCGGAGGTCAAAATCTGCCAAATTTTAGTGTCTTCCCATCGTACCAGTGCGACTACAGAACCACTGACCAAAAGCGGATTAATAAGGAAACATTTTTCAACAATTTTAAACCCATACATAATTCATTGCATAAATAGATTCAACCAAATTTTCCTTATCGTAAGCGATATATATAGCCAGTTACGCCCCTTGATTTTTCCATTTTTTCATTTTTATCATTTGCTTAAAACATAAGCGTCAACACGTGGAAATTCAAACAGTGAAAACTTTTTGAAAAGCGAAGCAAAATCGGTTAAAGCAAAAAAAAAAAATTAAAACAAAACATTATTTTTCTAGAAAAAAACCCACTGGAAATCCAATTGTAAATAAAGTTTTAATTTTAATTTTTCTCTGTAAAAATACACATATGTGCCTTTTTTCCCCAAATCTTATTTTAGTATATATATATTTAAAATCGTCAGGCCACGAGTGCTGTTATTTTTCTCGGTTATTTATATATACGGGTAGTGTTGCATTGTAGGTAGTCTATTTTGGCGGTTATTTTAACGGAAGTCATTTATTTGTTTATTTATCTGGGTTAAATTATTTTGCTTGTCATTATTTATTCAATTTTGGGGTTGGTTGTTGTAGTTTATTCTAACTATTATTTTGGCGAGAGTAGTTTTTAATTTGTTTATTGCTTCATGTATTTATTTGGATTGATTATCTGTATTTGTTTTTTTCTAACGGTTAATTTATCGGGATCGGTTTGTTAGTTTATTTGGATGAATTTAGATTAATTTATTTTAATTGTTTTTTATTATTTATTTATTATACTGTATATTTTTATTTACTCTTTTTGGTTTTTGATATTTAAGTAACGTAGTATTTTTTATCATTATATAAAAGTGGTAGCTATATTTTTCATTTGATTTATGCTTTGATTTTCATAGTCTAACTAATAATTTGGTCATAATGGTTTGTTATTTTGTTTACTATTTACTTCATTTATTTGGGTTCATTGATTTCGTTTTTATTTTTATTTATTTATTTATTTATTCTATTTCGTCTGTTCTAACGGGTGTGATTTGGTAATTTGTTAGGGTTAATTTATTTTACTTATTTTATTGTCATTTTGTTTATTTAATTATTTATATTATTTTATTCAGTTTTCGATTTTTAAGTAACGTAGTAAAAATTTGTTTTCATGTCTGCATTTTGAGATGAGCTCGGATCTTTTTTTTAATAATTTATTTTGCTCTGGGAAAGTAATGATAGTTATTTTTTCCTCCAAGCAAAGTTTGCAAGTTTTTGATTGGTTGTTGTAGGCTGATGATTTTTTCCTTATTTTCCAAGATATTTTTGGTGTGATGTGCGTTTTGTTTTTAATTTCCCAGATATATTTAGAAAGCATTGTGCTGTTCGCATATTTACTATTTGTGAAAGATGTTTTGTGTTCATAATTTCTTTGTTTCCAGAGTCCAACAGCTACTCCTATATATCCTTTAAAAAATCGTTATTATGGCTTTACAAAAATAGTTTAATAATAATAGTTTTATTTTAAAAAAGATCCAGTATGATAGGTTTCTAGTTATAGCTTCTTAATGTCCCCTGTGCCATTTTTGTGAAGGTGGGTATTGAAGAGTTAACTTAGTGACATGAATGGTACTAAGTCCGATAACATCCTGACAAATCGGCCATGGTCAGAGTGTGAACGTTCTAACTACTTGGCCACGTGAGCACACACACACATATAAGTAAACCTTATATGTAATGGATACCCATATTTGTGTAGATAATCTGTTTTTATTTATTTCCATTTACCGGCTTCAATATTCGATAAATCTTATTAGAAAAATATGCACTCTCCAGCAGGATATATATATATATATATATATATATATATATATATATATATATATATATATGTGTGTGTGTGTGTGTTTAACAATAAAAATATAAAAAACATTTTCAGACACACTGGGTTGTATATTAATAATTGTTTTATTATTTCAGTTAGTTTCGGCCAGCATGGCCATCATCAGGAGAAACGAACAAAAAAAAATCCCTGCTTGTCAGTAGCAGTGAACTACAGGAGTGAATGGCTGTTTCTGAAGAAAGTGAATTTTATCTGTAATTTTCATTTGTTTTTTTTTAATTTTGGTCATATATAGATATATATATATATATATATATATATATATATATATATATATATATATATATTATGAATATGTCTGAAAGATGGTTTATTAGACCGAAAAAAAACCCAAAAAAGAAAAAACAAAAACAACAAAACCAAATAAAAACCCTACAAAAACCAAAAACAAAGAAACAAAGAAACAAACAAACAAAAACTACCCCCGCAAAAAGAAAAAAGAAAAAGAATTGTTGCACTCCTCTTTCTGTTTTAGTGTACTTGATTTATTCCTTGTCTAATTGCATATAATCTATTTGTTTGCAATAAAGATAACGGAATATTTGTATGTCAACAGAGGAAAATGCATTTTAGTCCTTCGTTTACGATGAAGGATAAAATAAAGAGAATAGTAGAGGTAGAATATACACATGTGATTTTGTTTGAAATTTTCTCTTCTGACACGCCATCAAGACTGTGTTACATGCACAGCGTTGTTATGGTTACATGTGCCAATAATACATCTTAACAAGACGTTTATTTCTCTTAGAATCATCTTGCTGCACAAGTCTGAGAAAACGCACCCTTGTCTTACTCCACATTTTATTTTGCTTTACGTTGTCTATTTAAACGGGGGAGCATTTCGTTAGAAACAAAGGAAAGAATGTTGAATAGCTATGTAATATCAATCGTCTTATATGGCAGTGATTGCCTGACAATCTCACTACACAGACATGAGGAAGCAGAAATGTGGTTCTACAGAAGGATACTGAGAATGCCATGGACCGATTAACCAACGAGGACGCCTAAAAAAATGTAACAAAACAAATTTATCAGCTTCAGAAAAAGACAACTGAAATTTCTTGGACACATAATGAGGAGAGCGGGCTTAGAAAACATGATTCTCACAAGGCATATTGAGAGCCAGAGGGCCACTTACCCGACGAAAATGAAGGAAAGCATGATGGGAACGTGATGGGAGGCTTGACAAAAAGAGAAATTCGGCTAAGGATCACAAAGAGCTATGATCACACAAGCCCTTAAGGAACACGGCACATAGAAGAATTTGCAAATACACTTATGTTTTTTTTAATCCCTAGTGATTAAGGATATTTAAGCCAAAAAAATTGTGTATGAGATGTATGCTATTGGCTTTTTGTTTGCGATACGATGGTCATGATGACTCCTATAAAGCAATTATAGATTTCAATAACAGCAACAAATAAAATGGATAGTTCATCCAACTCGAAGAACAAATAATGACACGATCGAGAGACGAAGGAAAGATAGAAAGTCCTCATCAATAATGTAAAGAGCCATAACAGTTAGCGGATTTTAAAAACCTATTTTCCCGAAAAAAATGTTTTAATAAATTAATTATACAGGGTTTCCCGCCCCCAAAATTGACATCAATTTGTAGTTTAATAGCATAAGCAATTCTTGCTTAAATTATCTCAAATTTTAACAAAATGTCTAAAAACTAAGTTGACCGTGCGGACTTAGCTCAGCGAGAATCTAGCAAGAGGATGAATCGAGCGTGTGCCAATGACAGTGGTGTTGAAATGGCCACCACGTTCATCTGCCTTGACATCTTGTGATTTTTTTTCTATGGGTCTATGTGAAAAGTCAAGTCTATATCGCCCTCTTCCTACAAAACTAGAGGAACTTAAACAGAGAATCACTGGGGCACTGGAGAATGTTACGCAATACATGCTACATTGTGTATGATAGGTGTTGGACTACTGACTTAACATATGTTGTGTCACAGGTAGTGTGCATATTGAACATTTGTGAAATCGATTATGAAATCTACATCCCTTTGAATATCTTTGAATTTTGATAACTCTTTTATTGATCAACAGGAAGCCTATTTAATTTCGTTTGCCTGGGACATGTAGTTACTCAGGTATTCACATTTCAAATGATGTCAATTTTGCGGGGTCACCGCGTATAAATTATAAACGATGGTAGCACTGGTTCTTCAGTCAATGAATGTTGAAAGGAAAATGGTCAATTTTACCATTGCAATCACCAATAATTAAGATATGGTGATTACTTTCGGGTCATACCAGAGCCCAGATGATTAAAGCTTGCAGATAGTAAGTTAGTTGCCAAATCTTAGCAAATTTGTAGAGGTGCAAGTACCAGAGAGACAGACGTGATTACTTTCATATCACGATGAATCACCGTTTTTGGTACGATCACAGACGTTAAGCAACGTCGAGCCTGGTTACTACTTAGATGGGTGACAACTTGGGAATATCAGGTGCTGTAGGCTTGGGTGTGAAGGTGGTGTAATGGATAACGGATCGAAATTGAAAACGAATGAGTTGGGTTCCAATTCCAATCGGGTCGTTATGTAGATTTACGATGAAAGACCCTTGGGGAAGGTATAAATCCATCTCTTCTCTGTCAATCTATTATTTAATTCGTAGTAATCGCATCAGCATATCATTGTTATCCGCCCACAATTCTTACAATAATAATAATAAAAAAACAACTCTTGCTTTAAGTAACCTGCAAAAGGTTGAAAAGCCGTAAAAACAAACCGGTCAACCAATCATAGAGAAAAAGAGGTGGGGGGGTCACACAAGGGAACAAGTCTTGCTGAAATCAGCATAAAGAAAAACTGTGGGAAATTCACACAGAGGGAAGGAGAAGGAGGAGAGAGTGACGAGAGAGTGAGAGAAAGGGAGAAAAGAGTGAGAGAGGGGGATAGTCAGCTATTAAGAGAGGAGAGAGAGTGACCTAGTGAGAGGAGAGAGAGAGTAAGAGAGTTAAGAGAGGAGAGAGAGTGGGATAGTGAGGGAAGAGAGAGAGAAAGAGTGGGATAGTGAGGGAAGAGAGAGAGAAAGAGTGGGATAGTGAGGGAAGAGAGAGAGAAAGAGTGGGATAGTGAGGGAAGAGAGAGAGAAAGAGTGGGATAGTGAGGGAAGAGAGAGAGAGAAAGAGTGGGGTAGTGAGGGAGGAGGAGAGGGAGAGTGAGCTAGTAAGGGAGGAGAGGGAGAGTGAGCTAGTAAGGCAGGAGAGGAAGAAAGTGGGCTAGTAAGGCAGGAGAGGCCTACCCGTGGGCTAGTAAGGCAGGAGAGAGAGAGAGAGTGGGCTGCCAAGGAGAGAGAGAGAGAGAGTGGGGCAAGGCAGGGAGAGGGAAAAGTGAGCTAGCAACTTAGGAGGAGGGGAAAAAGAAGTGAGCTAGCAAAGGCAGGAGAGGGAGAGATTGAGCTAGCAAGGCAGGAGAGGGAAAAGGAGAGCAAGGCAGGAGATTAAAAAAAGTGAGCTAGCAAGGCAGGAGAGGGAAAAAAAATGAGCTAGGAAGGGCAGGAGAGGGAAAAGTGAGCTAGCAAGGCAGGAAAGAGAAAGTGAGCTTTCAAGATAGGAGAGGAGAAATATCCTAGCAAGGCAGGAGAGGGAGAAAGTGACAAAACTAAGGCAGGAGAGGGAGAAAGTGGAGCTAGCAAGGCAGGAGAGGGAAAAGTGATGTAGCAAGGCAGGAGAGGGAGAATCTACCATGTATTCAGGAGAGGGAGAAAAGGAGTTATCAAGGCAGGAGAGGGAAAAAGTGAGCAAGAAAGGCAGGAGAGGGACAAAAAGTGACCCAGAGAAGGCAGGAGAGGGAGAAAACAAACCAGGAGAGAGAGAATTCTACCTATTACCTGCAATGGAGAGAGAGAGTCCTGGGCAGAGAGGGAGAAAACCATCCGGTAAAAACCCAGGAGAGGGGAAAAGGAGCTAGACAAGGCAGGAGGGGAAAGTGAACTAGAAAGGCAGGAGAGGGAGAAAGTCTGCTAGTAAGGCAGGAGAGAGAGAGAGAGAGAGGAGTGAAAGGCAGAAAAGAGAGAGGAGCTAGCAAGGAGTATAGGGAGAAATTTTTGATAGTAAAATAGGAGAGGGAGAAATTGAGCTAGCAAGGCAGTGAGAGGGAGAAAGTGACTTACCAACGGCACGGAGAGGGAGAAAGTGAGCTAGCAAGGCAGGAGAGGGAGAAAGTGAGCTAGCAAGGCAGGAGAGGGAGAAAGTGAGCTAGCAAGGCAGGAGAGGGAGAAAGTGAGCTAGTAAGGCAGGAGAGAGAGTGAGCTAGCAAGGGAGGAGAGGGAGAAAGTGGGCTAGTAAGGCAGGAGAGAGAGGGAGTGAGCTAGTGAGAGAGGAGAGAAAGAGAGTGAAGAGATTGTTATTGATAGACTGAAATCGCAATCGTTTCTTTCTTATGAGAGGCATCGCGAATGAAAGATTGGAAATGCTTTAAAACACACATTGCAGTCTAACTCCTCTTTCAATCCTTTCGGCACACATTGATTCGTCTTGTTATGGAGAGCCATTTTTTCTTCCTTTCTTATCATTGTTTTCCATGAGCTGCATTTTGTGGTTATTGTTTTCAATAAGATCTGAGAGCTGTCACTATGAGCCATTCCCAGGCAGACCCCGCATCCTGGCCAATTGCTTCTCAAGCTCTACTGCTCATGCTTTATTAAACTGCCTGACAAACAAAGAACTACAATCAACCAGCAATGGTTTCAAAATATCAACAACCACAAAATAGAAAAAGGATGTGAAAACAGTAGAAAAGATGTGAGAAAATGAGACAACGACGTGGAAGAAAGAAAGTAAAAAGTAATTTCTACATAAAAAATATAGCAAAGTATAAAAATGAAGAAAAAATAATGTAAAATGTCGCTGAAAACAAAGCATTAATTAAAAAATTTTCTAAAAAATTATAAAAAGAAATTACATGTTAAAATAAATGGCATAAAAATTCTTAAAGACAAGAAAATCAATAAACAAACCATTCAAAACACGATCAAAGAAATATTAAAATGTCGAGATCAATATACAAATAAATTCCAAACAATGAGAAAGAAAATACCAAATTAAAGAAGTACTTATTTTTTTTTATCCCAAAACACGAAATAATTACAATGATGAGTCTTATAAATAATTAAGGTCGATATTTACCGTACCCCATGATAGATATTATAGAACGTCAGTTTAAAGTGGAGTGCACGTACACTTACATATGGCCTAATGGCAGAAAGTGCTTAATCCCCAAGACCACCGTCACATTGACGTCTGTATTAATAAACCCACCCTCTTTAGGTTAATGAGAAACGTGTTGCCAAAGAGTTTGAATCCCAGTGATCAGGTTTTCCTCTAATTTAAGAGAAAGACATCCGATCCAACATTGATTTCATTCCAAGGACCGATCAGTGATAGTTATTGACCCACGTCGGTAGGATGCATGTAGTGAAAGAGGTAATCAGGTACCCCGGAAAAAAGTTCGTGTTTTGTGTGCGATCTGCCGAAGAAACATTACCAAAAAGTAGTCAGCAAAAAATCTTATAGCGAAGAAAACGCCGACTTACCTCGTCAAACCAAGCGACAGCGCGTCACGTGTATTCTACGACGGAAAAAGTGGCGAAAAAGAAACAAGTCCGTCGCAGGAGTCGCTATAACAGTATTTTGATATGCAAATTACGGAGCATCCTATCCCAGCTGTCGACGAATGAAAAAAATACGTTCTGCCGATAAAAGCAGTTCGTGTTCTCGATTCAGGGGCGGGAAATTCGGGCATTTTTGGCTTCGGCGTTTGTTAGAGAGCGAGTTATTTTTCTGACTGGTTACACGCATTGTGATTTGAGATAGTACCGGCGAATCGAGTTTTCAGCATTTCTTTCTGCACCCCCCCCCCCACCACCGATATTCGAGTCTGTACTTACAGTGATTTTTCTTTGTGTTGTGAAAGTAATCTGCGACAACTACTTCCTTTGCTTTTAGAACGCTTACACTTGCAATGTAACACGAGCTCGGTTTAATGTAGAGTGCCCATAGCCTTACATATAAGCCCAGGACAAAAAACTGCACAGTTCTAGCTTCTATCACGTAGGTATCGATAAACGCTCTGTCTTCTTTGCTGTAACGCATGTGGTGTCACAGAGTTGGAATCTCAGGGTACTAGACTTCCTCCATGACTTGAAGATTAACAGATATTACATTTTGATATCAGCCCAAATGTATGGTAAAGGTGATCAATATTTGCTCACCTCCCAACAATAGTAAGATGTAACACAAGGTCAGTTTAATTTAGATTGCCCTTACGCTTGGACCAATGACAAAATTATGTCTTTCCGAGCTCGGTAACACTGGTGGCGGTGTCCATCTAACCTTGCTCTCTAGTGTAATGAAGTGGAAAATCCCAGTCCTCTGAGACAATCTTTTTTTTTTTTTTTTTCCGAAGGTAAGGTCCATTTTGCCGACTTCTTTTACCAACATTGATACCATCGACAAGAGATTTGCTGTAGATGGTGGGTCCGTGCTGACGAGACATTTGCGAAAACCAGGCCTAGATTTTACAGGGTCGCTGAAACGGACGCCGCCCAAGCCACGGTAGCCGATTCCACGATTCCAAAATGGGACAAACCTTTTCTCGGAGATCTCGGCGAAGTCTCTAGGCTTCGCTTGTTTCACTGCTGTTTCGCCCGAAAAGCGAGAGAGCGCCACCAACGTTGCTGCCAACAGCATCGCCACCCGGACATATTAAACCGATCCACTTTCGACAAAGCTGCCCGTTTGTCTTGATCACGTTCAAATCCGAGATAAGGTTTCCCCTCATGATTTGAAGAGGAAGTGTGAACAGTGACTGCAATTTGATCGCATTCCAAAAACCAAGTAAAGGTGATCTATTCCCACTTCAATCCCGAGCATGTGTCACATTGTGTTCGAGTGGGAGCTCTGATAAATATCAACCGTGTGACTCGGGCTGTGATTCTCAACCTAGTATGTCGCGAGATATAGTCACGGCATACATATATGTGTATGTAAGGGGGGGAGTAGTATTGGTACAGCGTTAGTATTTGATTAACTGAATAAGTATGAAACTTTTTTTTTTTTTTTTTTCAAATAATTCTTTTCACTATTTTTGATACATTTTGGATTTCAATACAAAAGGAATATCCCACGTTAGCTAAAAAGTCTTTATCAGTTTTATTTCAATTTTCTACTTATTTATGTGAATTAGGCTGCTCAGCCCTAAATAACATCAAAATCAAAAATGAAAGGAAGAAATGAAGACATGACTGTCTGCTTATGACACATTCAACCAAACATTGAAAAAATCGTAAAAACAAGCCCCCCCACCAAAAAAAAACAGACACAAGTTACACACTAAATAAGCTGCACAAATAGTTGAATAGAAACATTGAAATAAAGTTAGTTCTTATTTGTGTGGGTATTTGTCTATGGTTTTATTTCATAACGTTTAAAGGAATATCCTTTAAAAATTTTG